TGTATTGGAAACAGCAAATCTATAAATGAGACATTAATATTTTCTTGCCATGTTAGAAATCCAGAGATGCCCTGTAAGAAGTAAGCAATTATCTTTAAATAAAAAGCAGTATTGAGTAGATTGGTTGTGCTGCTTGAATTAACTTGAAAAAGCAGAGTCAATGGCTTAAATATAATATATATAAGTATAATTTTAGTTAAGTAGCTTAACTGGTGACACTTTAAAATCTCCATTAAATGGTCTTTTAATATCACTTTTCTCCGAGGTCAAATATTTAGTCTAAATGGCAGCTGTCACTGAGCACATCTCTTTCTTTTTTTGTAAGATTGTACTTAAGAAGTTTTCTTTTGATCTCTTCAGTCCAGAATATTCCCTTTTTGTGGGAGACCTGACTCCTGATGTGGATGATGGGATGTTATATGAATTTTTTGTTAAAGTTTATCCATCGTGTAGAGGTGGAAAAGTTGTTTTGGACCAGGCAGGAGTATCCAAGTAAGTCCTCTTTTATTCATTCTTTTCTTTCACTGCAGATGCAGCAACAGAAAAGATAAAATGCAGCAAGGGGGGGAAAAAAAAAAGAATAGTTTTATCAGCTTAGATTTTAGTAATGTTAAAATACAAAGTCTGCAATTTCCTTGGGTTTTGATAGTCACCACGGGGGTGTTGTCACTCCTCTGCCAGCGTGAGGCCCTTTGTGTGTTACTGCACTGCTTAAAATGCTGACAAATGTCTTAAGTAAGCTGGAAGCACTCTCCTCCTGGACTCTCAGGTGGAACTGTGCTATTATTTAGGCCATTCCTGGGAGAGGGTTTTATTTCAGACAGGGTAGGGCACACAAAGCTGTGATTCACTGTCAGGTTCTCAGTAGCCGCCTCGTTTGTCTTTGCTGGAAATGTCTTGCCAAAAACAGATATCAAAAAGCTGGATTTCTTCATGTAATTAAAGCATTTTCTAAATAGCACGAAATTGAGCTGTGTTTTCCTAGGGGAGGGAGCAATTGGTGAGAACCCTTGTTTTCAAAGCAGAGCGTGGCTTGGTGAAGCACAATATTCTGATATAGTACCTGTTGCAGTGTTGGGACGAGACCCAAGTCTGTGGCTGTAGATCTCCCCACTTTCTCACACGAGGCTTCTCAGTCTTAGATATGTTGGTTTGAAGGAATCTCTGGAGTTCTGTGGTCCAGCTCCAAGCAGGACCAGTACTAGCTCAGGTCAGCCATGAGTTGAGTATCCTGGAAAACCTCCCAGGATAGAGACAGTTCAGCCTGTCTGGGCAGCCTGTTCCAGAGCTGCACTCTCTCTTCACGTGCAACCTGAACCTCTTGCAGAGCTGCTCTGTCACTGTTGAATACTTGTGCTGTCACTGCTACCTCACATGGGACTGACACTGCTGGGGTGGGCTCCAGGTGCCTCCTCTTCCTCCTCCTCCTCTTCCTCAGAGGTGTAAACCCCACAGACCCTGTTTTGTTGCACCTGCCCTGGTCTCTGCCCACGGAACAGGTGATGGGTGCTGCAGTTTGGGCCATGAGTGGGGCTTTGGGAGCTGCTCAGAAGTGCAGTTCCTCAAGGAAAGGGAATCTGTGGTAGCTTGGGAAGTGAGGAAGGAGCAGGGACTTGGAGTCCTCTTCCAGGGACGAGCAGAGCTGTCTCCCCCGGCAGTGCCAGCGTGCTGCCAGGGGCTTTGTTGGGACTTGTGCAGTTACTCAAAGCTGAGGCAACTGCAGGTGTCAGGGTGATGTGAGAGAGGAGCTTTGGGCTTGTGGACGTGCCCAGTGAAGGCCTGGCCCTTCCAGCCAGGGCTGGTGGATCAGGAAGGCCTCCTCCCAGCAGGAGAGCAGCCTGGAGCTGTGGTGCTGAGCCCGCTTCTCTGCTTCCTGCTGAGGGTGCAGGTGTGGGGCATTTTCCAAACTGCAGGGACAAGGCAGTGTGTCTGCCAGGGAAGTCCTGGCCACGAAGAAATGATTTCTTGCTGGGTTTTCTTCTGGTTTAGCTGTTGGTGTGGAAAAGCTAAGTTTCTGGAAGAGTTGGAAGAATCACTGTCTCCCTTGCTGCACCCACCATCAATTCCTGTACCCTACATCCAGCTCTTTAGCTGTCTGTCTCTATTTTGGAACTGCCAGTCTTCTCAGTTTCCCTTACATGCTCCTAGTCCCACCCAAAAGGCTGCAGGAGTCTTTGTGGCAGCTTAGAAACTTAGTTGGTTTTGTGTGTGAGCACCTTAAACTGCTCACACAGTTTCACAACACTGAAGGGTGACTTGCACTGGCTTAATTTGCCACAGTCCTTTGGCAGAGGGCAAGTTAAACAGAATGGGGGCCCATGTAGAGTTTTGCTCGTGCTTAATTATCCAGTTTGTACGTAGATAAGCCTGAGCTTTGATCTGGTATTTTTGTGAGGAAGACACTGCCAGACCTGTGTATTTGTATAAAAATAGATATTTGGGCTCGTGCTGGCCAAGATAATGAGTTTTCTGGGGCACAAACTGCTCTGGGACAGCTTCCAGTGGGGACCTCCCAGGGGGAGTAGGTGATGCTGCTTTCCAAATAAAACATTACTTGGTGTTTAGGAGTTCCCACAGAATAGATAATACATTGTAAACTTCCACCCTTGCTTACGGCTCGTTCTTTTCCCCAGCTAGACAAGTCCTTCCCTCCTAAACTCCTTCCTTCACTTAGATGGATTCCCTTACCCTCCCACACCTAAGTCTTTGATCTTTCTGCTGCATGAGGCAGCCCATCCCATGCTGGGATCCTGGCACTGCCCTCCTGGATGCTGTTGCATCGCTTCTGACTCACTGCAGCACCAGAATCCCACGCAAAGGACCGTTGGGCTTGGAGAGAGTTGGTGTTTCTCCTCTGGCTGCAGAGCAGAGCTGCCACACCACAGTGTTTTCACGGAGTCCAGGGGTCCTGGCTGTGCTGTCCCTGTCCCAGCTGTGCTCTCAGAGCAGGTTTTAGCTACTTGATGTTACAAGCTCGTTTTAAGCCCCGCTTTGGGAATGACAGAAAGCCTATTTGAATATATTCCTGTTGAGAAAGAACTTGACTGGAAGGTGCATCTTAGGGAAAAGCAGTGTTTTCCTTCACAGTGGGGCAGTTTGGGATGCGAGCAGTGCCTGTGTCTTGTCAGTGCTGTGCTGACTTGCAACTCTTTGAGATTATCAGAATCCTCCCAGCAGAGATTTGGGGCTTTACCACTGTCTGCTCGTGCATTTCGACACGGCTTGTGTCAGCTCCCTTCCAATTCTGCACGATCCCCCAGCACAGGAGCTGCTTTCTATTTGTCAAGCCCTTAAAAGCACCGCTGGAGCTTGGACCTGTGGCTTCAGGCACTTTGGAAAAGCAACTGAAAGGCGGAATCGTTTCATCTCTCCCAAAAGCAGGGACAACAACCCAAACCCACAGTGTTTCGCTCGCTGCGTTCCCCAAACCGATTTGAAATTTCACCGTAAATAACTTCTAAGAGGTGGCCCGGCTTTTTGGGGTTGGTTTTAATGTGGTCTATTCTGTGTCTCCGCAGAGGTTACGGGTTTGTGAAGTTCACAGATGAGCTGGAGCAGAAGAGAGCACTGACAGAGTGTCAGGGAGCTGTGGGGTTGGGCTCCAAACCCGTGCGATTGAGTGTGGCTATACCAAAAGCGTGAGTATGAGAGCAGCCAGGTGTTCATTATGAGTCCTCACATCTGCTTTTAAATGTGCTGTAGTGGTTTGGGGACATTTCCTGGATGTTTCCATCACAAAGTGAAGGAATCCCCCTGATAATGGGGAGCATCAGAATGCCCAGGAATTCAGAGAAATTATAACATTAGCTCAAGACTAAGCGTGTTCCACTGTTTTTAATTGTATACATTATAAAATCCACACACATGTACCCACACTGTAGTTAAATATGATTGTTTTTAAAGTGTATGTTCCTTTGCTTTTAACTGAAATAGCCTAAATCTGCTTATTGATGTCTGGATAGCAAAGCTCAATTACCTTGCTAATTCTATTATGATGTCTACTAAATATAAGTATTTTGGGGCAGGGATTAACTTTTTTTTCTGTGTTTGTTCAGAACCTGATACAATGAGATCCTGGTCTGACTTGGGGCTCGTAGCACTAGGGTAATACGAATCATAGTAATTGCTCCCTATTTGAATAATATTTAGATTTTCAGAAGTCTTGGGGGGGAAAGGAAGAGAAAAGCAGAAAAAAGAGGTGTACTGTGGTGAGAAGATTGATGTTTCCTTCTTCCTACTTCTCACGAATTTCATCACTAGCTTTTTATGTGTGACATACCTTCATTTTCAAACGATGTTTGCCATCTCATTTCAAATCTTGATAGTCAGGTGGGATTCCAAGTTCCTTGGGAATGCTGCCACTTTATGGAGAGGAATGGGAATTTTAGTCAGCTCACAGGGTACTTAAGTTTATTTTTTGATTACCTGTAGTTCTTTTTATTTCATGAACTCTTCCAACTCTGTGCATAGAGGACCTCTCAGTTCAGTGAGAAAGGGGACAAGTCATTGCTTAGGTTTCTGTGTGACAGTGGCAGAAGGAAGAGGGTTTTGTCCGTTCTTATTAAAGAAAACTCCAATTTTTTTTGCAAGGCTTTAAGTCTTTAACTCTTCATGTAAAGCAAGATTCAGTACCTTGTCTCAGGAAGCTGCAGATTACTTAACTTCATCCTATTTATCAGAAGAAAAAAAGGGGCCCAAGAATCTGGATTGTGGTTCAGGATTGTTCTAAAACTGAAGCTCGTGGTCCTGAACTCTTCCCTTCCCAAAGCCAGGAAGTGACCCTAAATTAACTCCTAAAGAATGAAAGCAATGTTTATTAATGAAGAGGAAGAGGAATGCAGGAAAGGGCGTTAAATTTAAACCACTTCTTTCTTTATGCAAACGTATGCAAATGATAAATACTGCTGTAGTAAACAGTGAATATATTTTAAAGACTGAAAACTGCATGTTAGACTAAGCCTTGTCTATGTACCAGACTGTATCTTAAGCTGTTTCACTGCTTTTTTCCTACTTGTTCTGCACTATTTGCAACTCACTCCTGCTTTATTTTTTGAAGTAACCGCGTGAAACCAATGGAGTACAATCAGATGTACAACTACAACTACAACCAGTATTATCAACAGTATCACAACTACTACGCCCAGTGGGGGTACGACCAGAACACGGGCAGTTACAGCTACAGTTACCCCCAGTATGGCTACACACAGAGCACCATGCAGGTAGGGCAGCCCAGAACCACCCCAGAGCTTGCCAGTGGGGGTGGGAACGTTTTAGCTTCAAGCTCTGAGGATCACAGGATGTCCTGAGCTTGAAGGGACCCACAGGGATTATGGAATCCGACTCCTGGCCCTGCACAGACACCCCAACAATCCCACCCTGGCCCTCACAGCGTTGTCCAAACCCTCCTGCAGCTCTGGCAACCTTGGGGCTGTGCCCACTGCCCTGGGGAGCCTGGGCAGTGCCCAACCAGCCTCTGGGGGAAGAACCTTTGCCTGAGATCCACCCTGAGCCTGCCCTGACACAGCTCCAGCCATTCCCTGGGTGCTGTCCCTGCTCCCCCAGAGCAGAGATCGGAGCTGCCCCTGGGGAGGAGCTGCAGCCCCCGCTGAGCTCTGCCCTCAGTCTCCTCCAGGCTGAGTAGAACAAGTGATCTTAATAACAGACCTCTTGATAATGAGTTCTTAATAGAGCTGCTCTCTGGTGTTCAGTAGTACCTGGTGTGTCCTGTTGCCTTATGTGAGGTAAAATGTTGCCCCTTACACTGGGTAAGGACACAAGGGGTCTCTTAATACAGTTTTCAGGGTAGAAGGGTTCTCTTGGTACAGGCAGCGCTCAGGCAGCCTTCTGGGATCCTTCCTAAGGCTTGTTTTAAAGGACAGAACACATCAGAACAGCCACCCCACTTCACCCCAGGAACTGCAAGAACTGCTGCCTCTGTCAGAGGTTTAGTGTGGGATCTCCCCCGTGGAGTGTTGGGAGTGGAACACAGGCTTATGTGTGAAGAATTCTGTTGTAATCACTCTGATATAAAAGTCAGTCTCTGACAGTACCAATCAACAGGTGATGCCTGTAAAAGAAAAGGTAATTATCTGCTGTCCTAAGGGGTTTGTTTCTCCTTGCAGACATACGAAGAAGTTGGGGAGGATGCACTGGAAGGTACGTTTCTCAAATTCTGTACTGAAATTGTCTGTCTGTCCTGCACTGACCAGAGACAGACCTTCCCAGTTTGGCCCTGATTTCGGTGTGTACCATCCCTTTATCTTTGAGTAAATCTGAGAACTTTGCCTTTCCCCCCCCCTGCAGATCCCACGCCTCAGTTAGACGTCCACGAAGCGAACAAGCAGTTCATGGAGCAGAGCGAAGAGCTGTACGATGCCTTGATGGACTGTCACTGGCAGCCTTTGGACACTGTCTCCTCAGAGATCCCAGCTGTGTTATAGCCTCGTTGCTGAGGCACTGTGGCTGTGGAATATCCCACCAGTGCACTCCGGACTGATCCGCCGGATCCCGCGGGATCAGAGGTGGCCCTTTCCCCACCCAGGCCTGGGACTCGGAGTACAGGAGGACTGTGGCCCTTTTCCTGTACAGAACAAGTGTCGTAGGAGCATCATGGTAACCTTGATTCATGGTGAAAATTAGAACTGCAACAGGTTTATTCCTTTTTGTCTTGAAATGAACTCCTGATACTTGTTGGGAATTGTAATTTATAAACTTTCGACGAGGTGGCACAGGGGAGAGACTCTACCCCATCCTACAATAAAAAAGTTGGTCTTTTAAGTACAAATTACCCCTTGCATTTTGGTTCCTGCCCATTTTGGTTCTTTCTGTTTGGCTGCCCATTCAACTTGTCTCCAGCCATTTGGCCCAACACTTGTGAATGTGTTACTTTTAAAAAGAAAGATCATTGTTGGATGCCACTGAAAGGTCTCCAAAGGTTTCTAGTGACTGGGTAAGGTTGCTGTAACTTGAGCACGGGATGAAAACTTGTGTTCTGGTTAAGCTAAGCTGTGATCATGAGCTAGAAAGTTTGGTGTTCTTAAACAACCTACCTGAAGAGCACTTTGGAGAGAAAAGACAGAAAGGAGTGTTAGAAAACTACAGACCAATGCCTTTTACCTGGTGATCTCTTGCACACCTGACTTGCTTCTCCACCTGTGTGTGAGGAAATAATTCCCCATCAGCCAAGCAGTTTAAAAACACTTTAACCAGCAACCATATTTAAATGTTATTTTGTGTATCATGCCTTTATTTTTTTATTGGTCTCGTTAATGTTGAGATTTTGTAGCGTCTTCCACTGTCCTGCCAGAGGGAAACAGAAGATCTTGCAGCAAAAAACGGGTCAGAGCAATCTCACTGATATATTGTGCAACAAATTGTTGTGAACCTGGAAAGCAGTTTTCTACTGGATGTTGTATGAGCTGGGTGGACAAGCAATATAAATAAGCTGATATTATGTTGCATTAGAGGTGAAAGTGAAAATAATAGCACTTATGTACGTATTACAAGCCCTTTTCAGGCTTTTGTGCCTTAAACTCTTGGAGAAATAGGAACAGAGAAACTACCTGTAATAAATGTCTATCCAAGGAATAGTTTGGTAACTGAAATTGCTGCTGCCGAGCGTTTCGTTGCCTCCCTGCCCATGTTGATGCAGAGATTTGCCACAAGATTTAAATACTTTGATAAAGCTACTTCTACTACACCTTTGTTTGTGTCCATAATTATGATCTATTTGTCAGTCTGTGGTTTTTTCCTTAACAACTGCACCTGGGGATGCGAGGGACTGGAGTTAAGTTTTCCCTGACCGAGTGGAGCTGGAGGACTGCTGGACTCCTGCCTTCTCATCTGCTGTGAATTATCCCTCCTGCTGTGCCCCTAACTGTGCTGCTGCCAATGTCCTCACCTTCAGATCCTCTGAATTTGAGGAAAGGAATGTGCCCTGTGTGTTCTGGGAGTTTCAGAGGCGGCAGAAGTGGAAGAGAGCAGAGCTTTTATATCTTCTGCTCAGCTCAGAGCAGCCCCTCTTCCTGGGAAGTTCAGTGGAGTGGCATTTCAGAGGTGATGTAAAGAAGGGGGGTTTATGTCCTGCTGTTAAGCACTTCCTGCTGTTAAACACTTTCTAGATCGTTCTGTTCCTGTGCTGCCCTGTGTGCCCTTCCTTCTCCTCTTTGGGAGCTGTCTTTCCCCACCCCCCCAAAATTTTAGCTTTTTAATGCAGCCATCTCAGTTTGCTGCAGGAGTGACCTGAAGACACAATTTATTGATCAGTATAAGTTTACTCTCAGCTGCCCAGCATTGCTACCCTGTGGAGCATTTCCCAATGCCTGGATAAACCCTCTCCATCCAGGCCTGTCCCTAGAGGAGAGAGGAGCAGGTTATCACCTCCCACCGCCAGCAACCCTGGGGGAATGTAAAATCCTTTTACTCTCTGCTTTTGTTTTCATAGTGGAAGAAAAATGGTAAATATTAGTCCAACTCATCCTGACCCCTAATTCCTGGGAGAGCTGGGCACGTACAGACCCTCAGGAGGAGCAATTTGGGAGCACAGAGGCCAGCAGGGATGACCTGCTGACGCTGTTTACTGCTGCTGCAGAGCCCAAAATAGCTCCTGCGTTTCCTTTTAAGAGAGGTTGATGTGAGGCTCTGGGCCACATTCCCTGGAGGTGTGAGCCAGCCTTTTGAGGTTGGGTGGGAGAATCTCAGCCAAGGGTTCTGTGGAGCTCTTAAATCTGTTTTGTTTTTTTTTACTGTGTATCACTTAACTCGCCTTAATGTTCATTTTCAGCTCCCGGCCGTTATTGCAGCGTCTGAAGCACAGAAGAGGCTTTTATGTGGAGCTCCAAAACAGCCCATCACCTGGAATTTGTAGGGTTTGTGCTTTGGAATCCAAGTCAAACAGAGTGTGGGATTTTTTTTTTCTCCTGGGTGGCTACAGGAAAAGCCTGGATTAATTACCATTTAGTGTCACATGGGATGAAAGACAAGGACTCCGTGTAGTAAGGTAAATCCTGCTTTTATCTTCGTGTGCTCAAGGCAAGAAATCCCAGGCAGGTGATATCACAGCTCCCTGGGATTATGTAATTCCTGAAAATTGCATCCAAATCTGCCACTGAGATTATGGAGCACTCTGCCTTTCAGCAGGCAGGGTTTGTAGCAATTAAAACAACAACCCAAACGCTCTTGTTGAAGATGAGATAATCCAATTTAGATGAAAGTGCAGGGACTCAGATTCCCATTTGAGTTACACAAACTGGGAAAAGTTCAGCAGAGCTGGAGGGACGTGGGTGTGTTTGGACTCTCCAAAGGGTGAGCTCTGAGGTTGTGGGGTGGCCTGTTGCCATTAGCTTGTGTTTAATTAAAAGCTTGACAATACACACCAGGGGTGGCCTGGGAGAGATCCTGACCCGCTTCCAAAGGGATGAGGAGTCTGGAAGCATTTCTTGAGCTGATCTGGGGCTGGGTCAGGGGGCTGACAGGGGGCTGACTGTGATGATTTTTTTCCATGTGAGTCTGACTAGACAAAATTCCTGTTACTTGGATCAGTGTCAGGACACGGGTTCATATCCCGCACACTGAGACGTACCCAACACCCTCAGGAATTTCTCTGAATCCCTTTTGAGGAACAGAGATAAACATTTGACTCCGATCTTTCCGTGCTGGGTTTCTCATTACTGCCTTGTTAATCCCCAGCTTCTGCTAAACAAAGATCTGAGAGGAATTTTTACCTTCCAGCCTTGCTATCTCCCGGTGCATCTTGTAAATCATACTGGATACACCAGTTTCTGGATTTAACTTGGGATTTGCTTAGACATGAAATGAATTCAGTGGCAGGATAGGGTATGAATTTGAAATGCAATAGCAGAAACTGCTAGAGCTGGTTCAGGAAATGTCACTGATAGGGCTCACTTTCCCTTTTTGCCTGGTGGAAAACGTCTCCTTTTTTTTCTTCCTTTGCAATTGTTCCCCAGTCAAAATGGTTTTCCCAAGTGCAGTCAGTTTTGTAGGAAGGGTTTTGGGGTTCTGCTTGGCACACACCCTGTTTTCTCAGGGACAGGGTGGGATTGTTGGGGTGTCCAGCCCATGACCAGGAGTTGGACTCGATGATCCTTGTGGGTCTCTCCCAACTCAGCATATTCCATGATTCTACAATTCCAATGTCATGCTGCTTCTGCTGTTAAATTTCCAGGGAAAAAGCAGTGATGGATAACACAGTTAAGGTGAAAAAGATTGAGAGCTGATCATGGCCAGGGCTTGGCTTGTCCCAGGGGGCCACAGGCACAACAAACCCCTGAGTCACCTAATTCTCCCCTGCTTTTCCTCACTGATGGTTTTCACAGAGCACATCCCTGTGCACTGCCTGCTCCCACCTGTCAGGGGATGGGAATTGCAGGCTCTTCCAGCATTTTCTCCCTGTCCTGCGCTGTGGAAGAGGCTGGTGAGAGGTTCCTGGGAGGTTTCATCGGGGACTCGCTGACTGTGGATGTGCAGTGGGATTTTCCCTGCTCCTCTTTGGATCTCCATCCATCTTCCTGTGGTGGGCTGAGGTCTGCTGGGCATCCAGTGCTTTTCACTGTTGCTCTTTGGGGGGGATTCTCCCAGTTCAGCCTCTTCCCAAACAATGTTTACCAAGGTTTGAATACCTGGGGAAGACTGGGGTTGGTTTTTTTCCTACAGTGATCTCCCAGTTCCTGCCCTGCCCTAGGATTTGAGAGGGAGATTTTTAGGTTCCTTTTGCACAAGTGGCTGTGCCAAGGAGACTCCAGGGAATGCCTCGTGATTTGGCAGAGCAGCTGGGAGATCCATGGAGGAGGAGGAGAATGGGAGCAGCTGCTGGTCCCCTGTCCCTGCCAGCTTTGACAGGGGCTGTCTTTGCAAGGGTTTGGCCACAAAGTTGGGGGCTCATTTCCAGACTTGGCTTTAAATGAGTGCCAGGTTTATTTTGTTGCTGGTCTGGCGTGTTTGGGGGGAGCTACCAGTTGGAAAGGGCTATTCCTGAGCACTGGGAATTCTTTCATCTGTTAATTTTGCTCAGAACAGGTTAAAAACTGACTGTTCTCCCCCATCCTTTTTGCCCTTTCTCCAGGGCTCAGGCAGGGAGCATTCCTGGGCTTTTCCAGCTGATTTCCCACGGTGGCTGTGCCTTCAGCACCTGCAGCTGTTCCAGCACTGCCTTCCAACCCTTTGGCAGGTGCTCCCACTTTAAATCCTTTCCATGGATTATGGATCACGAGCCAGGAGTCTGACAGAGGTATTTTGTTGGCAGACTTTTGTTTCCAAGAAACTTTCCTTCTATTCCCTGAGGGTGGGATGTTCCCCCCCAAGTTCCAAAAGGGAGGAAGGAGTAGGGAAAAGGCAGCTGCTGCCTTCAGCTTTTCCAAGAGCAGCCCCTGACGTGCCTCTTGGATGGAAGAGGAGAGAACTGTCTTGGTGCCACCTGGATTGGAGGGTCTTTGAGGTGGGGAGGGGGAGCACAGCTCACGGGTGGGGAATCATGGAATTGTGGAGTGGTTGGAGTTGGAATGGACCTTAAGGATCATCCAATTCCGATTCCTGCTGTGGGCAGGGACACCTTCCACTGGAGCAGGTTGCTCAGTGGGGTGGGTTTGTCGTTTGGGAAGTGGGATGGGATGGAGTGGGATGGCGAGGGGTGGGGAGGGAGGGAGGGAGGGAGGGATGGATGGCGTGGGAGAGATGAGTGGATGAACAGATGGATTGAGGGATGGATAATAAATGGGTAGATGGATGGGATGGATGGATGGAGATGGAGATGGATGGGGATGGAAGGGGAAGGACGGACGGCGGGGACCATGGGCAGCTGAAACTACAACTCCCAGCAGCCTCTGCTGCCCCAGTAACCAATCAGCGCGCGATGCCGCGCTATAAAGGGCGGGCGCGGGCCGCTTCCTTCCTCTCTCGGTGATGGCGGCGGTCCGGGCGGGCAGTGCTGGGCCCGGCGGGAGCATCCCTCGACATCCGCCGCCATCCGCCCTTCCCGGGGCTCCCCCGCCGCCCCGGCTACCCGTGGGCACCTCGCCCCGCGTGGCGGAGCTTCGGGGCGCTCCGATGGCCTGGAAGGGCAGCGCGACCTTGATCCGTCCCGGGCCGGGCCCGGCCCCGGGTGAGTGAGGGAGGGACCCCCGAGGCTGAACCAGCCCCCGTCCCGGGGCCCCGCGGGCCCTTCCGGCCCTATCGAAGCTGTGTCTGTCGGTGCTGTGGCAGACTCGGTCAAAAAGGAGCCGAGAGCGAAGGGATTTTCCCCGACGGTCGCCGCTCAGTTGGAGCCTCCGTAACTGTCCGGCAACATCTCGGGAAAATACACGGCCCGGGAGGGGCCGGAGCTGGGGGGGAGTGGAAGGATTGGCGCTGGAAGGAAGCGGCTGCCCCAGATCCCTGCTCCTGGGGTCCGAATTGCTGCACAGGGAGGTGGGAGCGGGCGGGTATCCCACCTCCCTGTTGTTTTAAGATACTTTATGTACCTGAAGCTCAAGACTCTGTTCTTCCCCAGCAGCATCCTGGTGATCCCGGAGTGTGGGATGGCTGGTGGCAGCCTCGCTCTGGCAGCATTCTGCAGGTGAGGTGGGAGATCCAGGCCCTGGATTCTCCTTTAGGTTGGGAATTTGGGTGGTTTCGTGGCCTCCCTGGGCCAGAGCAGGGACCAGCAGCATTTCCTGCCCCTCTGCCCTAGGACGGTGCCAGCATGTCCTTCTTCCAGGGATGTGGATCTGCTGGGCCCTGCAAACTGCCCTTAGTTCTTGTTCCATCAAGATCAAGTGTGTGGAATAAGGGCAGTCCTCTCTCTGGGCCAAGCTAGAGGCAGAACACTGGGAAGCAACCCTGATCCAAAGCCGGTGGATCACTGTCACAGGCTTTCCTGGCTGAGCTCCGTGTTTATCCGCATGTTTATCCAAGAGCTGTGGCTCCACACAGTGGCTGCAGGTCTCCAACAACATGCCAGAGCAACGGGAAGGTCTTTGACTGCTGGGTCTCCTCTGCCCGTGGCTGTCACTCGCCCCTCCTATATATTTTGGGGAATTGGGCTGTTCCTTGTGGTTTCAGGGTGGGATGAGTCAGGGATGTGTCCCCAGGAATCTGCAGCCTGCTGCTGATTTTTTTTAAGGGTTTTGTGATGTCTTTCAGGATTCCTGGGTGTTTCAGAGCTCTCCTGCCTGATGGATAGACCCCAGGTAGGAACGTGGTATCCATGTTGGAGCTCCACAGCTCATCCCTCCAGTTCCCTTTCCCATTGGATCTGAATACCGATCTTGTGGTCGAAAAAGGAGGAAGAGTGAAAATTCACCCTGGTCTAGGGCTCTCTGCGGGTGTGTCCTGTCCTGAGAGGGGCCAGTGGGAAGACAGGCTGTGCCAGCCTCCCTCCTTGGGGAAGGCTGGATGGGAGGCAGGGAAATTCCTGCTGGGGAGAAGGGATAAATATTGGGCACGGAGGGCAGGGGTGTTGTGGTGGGTGGAAGGCTGGGGTTTATGTGGGGGGATCTGAGCCATGGATTTACAGGGATCCTTCAGCTTCACTCTGGCTCTGTGTTTTCAGGAATTACTCACTGAGAGAGAATGAGAGCTTGTGAACCCTCTCCCAGGGGGTCTGATTTGCTTCCTGTGGGCCTGAGTTGTGGGGAAGCTGCAGCGTGGAGCAAGTGAGTGTCCTGGTGTTGGCTGGGCAGGAGGTTTGGATCGGACATCAGGAGGAAATCCTTCCCTGTGAGGGTGGGGAGGCCCTGGCACAGGTTGCCCATCCCTGGGAGTGTCCAAGACCAGGTTGGACAGGGCTTGGAGCAACCTGGGCTAGTGGAAGGTGTCCCTGCCCATGGCAGGGGGTGGGAACGAGATGAGCTTTAAGGTCCCTTCCAACCCCAACCATGTGAGTGTTTCCCTGGGAGCAGTGCCTGGGTGGGATCAGTGGCAGCACAGCCTGGTCTGTGATGACTCCTGTGTCTGGAGACTGTTGGATGAGTCCTGCGGATATGGGGCTGAGGCCAGGCATGAGCTACCCCAAAACCACTCTGGGGTGGGGAGGGGACAGCCAGGAGCTCCTGAGTGCAGGTGGGATCTAGCACAGCACCAAGCTTGACTGCTCCTCACTCAGCTGGATTATTCTTTTTTTCAGGTCTAAGCAGAGCGTGGAGCTGAATTGAGCCCATTCCTGAGGGGTTCGTTGCCATGTGGTACTTTACCAGTCCTCCAGCAGTGGGAGCTCTGCAGAGCCAGATCCCGGCTCCTTCTCGAGCCGTGAGCTTCTCCGGGCAGGATCCACTCCTGGGCTCCACTCACCCACATTGCAGGGACAGGGAACTGCTTTGGCTCCGGGTGCTGCTCAAGATCCTGTTCTGACACTGCGTGGAAGAGCAGTCCCTTCTGTGGGGTTTCCTCAGGAGTGGAGTTATTTAATATTAGTGGATATTAAATCTTGGAGGCTCAATAAACACAATTGTTTGAAATCCTTGTGGCGTCTCCCATGTTTGGGGTGTGTTGGGATGGGGTGAGACTGGGCTGGCTCTGAGCCTGGCTGGGGGTGATCAGTGCCAGGGGATCTGAGCATCCCCTTCCAGTGATGCTCCAGTGTGGGATCCTGTCCCTACTGCAGCACCCACCCCTGGGGTGTCCCCACGGCCCTGGGTGGGTATCCCTGGAGTGCAGGAACACACCTGGACCATCACAGAGGTGCTGGAGCAACTCCTGCAATCCTACACTTCCCAACACCCTCGAATGGGGCTTTGGTGATGCCAGTGGCCCGGTTTTTCATGATGGACAACAAGCAGGGATGTAGGGGTCACAACAGCTTGAGAGTTGTCATTCCCTGTCCCGGGATGGCTGGGCCATGGCAAAATCCCCTGGGGTGACCTGGCTGTTTGGCAAGAGCACCTTTGTCCAGTGCCTCTGATCCCTTTTCCCGGTGGGGACTCTGGAGCCCCTTCCCTGTGGAGCCTGTCCCTCCCAGCTCTCCCAGGACCTCAGGGGGGACAACAATGTGTCTGTGCACTCACAGCCTCGCTGTCCCTTTGTCACCAAAGCCGGGCAGCAGGACAGACCTGGCATGTGACAACGGCAAACAACACCCCGGGGACAGGAGGATAAGACCGAACAACACCCCGGGGGCAGGAGGATGAGGACGGAGAAGCTTCTCCCTCCTCCCGGGGACGGTTTGTTTGTCTGCCCGGGTGACTGCGGGGCCAGAGCCGTCCCTGTCCCCAGGTGGGGTGGGGACAAGAGTGGAGACCTGCCCGTGTCACCGCCAGCACAGCAGTCGGGATCCAGCCGGTCATGGGGACAGTGACAGATTCCCCGCAGGACCCCGACCCCGGGGGACACTTCCAGTTCCGCGTTATCGTGCTGGGGGACGCGGCCGTGGGCAAGTCCTCGCTGCTGCGCTGCTTCGCCGAGGGGCCGGGGGAGGGTCCCAGGGGTCCGGCCACCCCCGGCCCCACCGTGGGCGTCGAGTTCTACAGCCGGACCGTCCCGGTGCCGCCCGCGGGCAGGGCCAAGCTGCAGCTCTGGGACACGGCCGGCCAGGAACGCTTCAGGTGAGCTGGGGACGGGGACACAGCCCCCATGCGGGACCCCAGACCCAGCGGAGCGTCCCCCCCACTCTGGACTGGGTGTAAATCCCCGGCGGGCGTGCGGGGACAGGCAGCGATGCCTCGCTGGGACGGCGACGCTTTAGGGGACAGTGAAATCTTGTGCTGAGCTTGTAGTGACTCCAGAACTGGCTTTTGGGAGACAGCCAAGGGGGCAGGGCTTGGGGAGAGTCCTGGGATGCTGCTCCTGGGCTGCTGGTGGGCTGGGGATGGATGGTTTCTCTCCTGATTGCATCAGGAGCTCCTGGGAGTGTGGAAGAGGCTCAAACGGGACACAAAGGGCTGGAGAGCCGGTGCCGCGGCTGGACTGGGGGTTCCACGCTCTCCCCGTCCCTGGGAGCCTTTTTGGGACCCCAGAGTTGGTCTGGGGGTGCCCTGTTTCTGTCCAATGCTTGGCCTGGGGGTGCTGCCCCCTCCCCACTGCGCTCCAGGCTGTTGGGGGGGACGGAGGGACCCCAGAGCCCCTGAAAAACACGCCAGTGTCTGGACTGGGAAGGGGGATGCTGAACAGAAAGGTAGGATGTAAAGGCCCCGGCAGGTCTCCTTTTCCACTCCTCAAGTCCCGACCGGCACCCAAAAAGCCCCTCAGCCCCATCCCAGGTATGTCAACGTGGGGGCTGCCCCAGAGCCCCTGGAAACGCCCCCTGGGTGTGCCCAGGTCCATCACCAGGTCCTTCTACCGGAGCGCGGCGGGGGTGCTGCTGGTGTTCGACCTCACCAACCGCGCGTCCTTCGAGCGCGTCCCCGAGTGGCACCGCGAGGCCGCGGGGGGGGGGGACTGCCCCGCCTTCGTCCTGGTGGGGCACAAGTGTGACCTGGAGGCCGAGAGAGCCGTGTCGGCAGAGGAGGCCGGGCACCTCGCCGCCAGCCTGGGCATGGCCTTCGTGGAGACCTCGGCACGCAGCAACCTCAACGTGGACTTGGCCTTCCAGATGTTGGCAGGGGGCATCCAGGAGGCCCTGGGACGGGGGGTCCTCGCTCCTCACCAGGGCTGTGATGGCATCAGGCTCATCCCCAGCCAGAGCCGCCGCCAGCCCCTGGCACGGGGGGAGCCCCGGGAGCGCTGCCAGTGCTGATGGGGACAGGGAGACACGGGACCCTCCACCCGGGACCCTCCACCCAAGGGGATGTCTTTCTCTCTTCAGCCAGGCTTGGGTTTATTTCAAATCTTAATCTGGGGACTCTGAAAAAATAATGCTCTGCTGTAGGAGTGTTTTTAATAAACCTGAGGGTTTTCCACACTAAATAAAGGCTGTGCCAAGAACCGGATGCCAGGCAGGGACACAGCGCTCGACCCACAGCATGAGGGGTGCTCTGATTTGGAGGGGGGGTTGGCTGATGGGGTTACACCCCCCCATGTCTGTGTCACTTTTGGGAGCCTCCTGTCACTGGGAAAATGGGAGCAGGAACACCCGAGTGGTTCCAGCTGGACGGAGCCAAAATAAAGGGAGTGAAGGGGCTCCAAAGGGGCCACCCCTGGGAAAATGGGACCAGGAACCACATCCAGCTGGATGGAGTCAAAATAAAGGGAACGAAGGGGTTCCAAACCGGCACCCCTGGCTCTGGGAACGCCTCCTGGGTGGAGGAGCTCCCTGCCTGCCCGGACACGCGCCCGGCGCGGGGGCGGCGGGGCCCGGCACCGGTGGAGGCACCGATGGAGCCGCCGTGGCAGTACCAGTTCCGGGTGATCATGCTGGGGGACTCCACGGTGGGGAAATCCTCCCTCCTGCGGCGCTACACCGAGGGCACCTTCCTGGACGCCGTCAACCAGACGGTGGGGGTGGATTTCTACGTCCAGTTCGTGGAGCTGGAGCCGGGGCTGAGGGTGAAGCTGCAGTTCTGGGACACGGCCGGGCAGGAGAGGTTCAGGTGGGTCCGTGGGGTGGGGAGGGGTGAGGGAGGTGGGTGTCCCACCCTGGATTTGGGGTGGAATGATGTGATCCCGACCCCAGGGAGGTCCTGGATGGGGCTGTGTTCCCACTGGTCCCTTTGGTGGGGGAGCCCCATGTGTGAAGAACCAGCGAAAGCCAAGGGAAAGGAGCACTTGGTTCAGCTCTAAAGGGGGGGTGGGCCCTGCTCCAAGCACTCCTCTGTCCCACAGCTGCAGAGGGGCTGGGGAAGAAGCTGGGAGCCCACTGGGAGCTGGGCAAAGTGGTTTTCCAAAGTGGTTTACAGCTCAGATGCCAGGAGCCTTCACACCTCACTGTGGGGCTGCCACTGCTGGCCGGGTGGCTGCTGGGGACAAGGGAACTCAGGAGATGTGGCTGCAGGGATGAGAGAGCTCCAGGACTGTGACTGAAGGGGAGGGAAAACTCCAGGACCACGGCTGCAGGGGTGGGAAAGCTCTAGGACCATGGCCACAGGGAGAGGAGAGCTCCAGGACTGTGACTGAAGGGGAGGGAAAACTCCAGGACCACGGCTGCAGGGGTGGGAAAGCTCTAGGACCATGGCCACAGGGACAGGAGAGCTCCAGGACCGTGTCTGCAGGAATGGGGGAGCACTGGGACATGGCTGCAGGGCTGGGGGAGCTCCAGGACTGTGGCTGCAGGGACAGGAGAGCTCCAGGACCATGGCTACAGGGCTGGGGGAGCCCCGGGGACAGTGGCTGCAGGGGACAGACAGGCTTTGGTGGCCGAGCAGGGACAGAGCCGCCCTTGGAGCCCTCACTGACGCAGCCAAAGGGCCGATTCTCCACCCTCTCCCTGTGCTTCGGGCAGGGGAGATGCAGCCCGAGGTGGCACAGGCGACCTTGGGGGGGCCGCTCACCCCCTTTTCCCGGCCTCCCCCCCTCCCTCAAGGTCCGTGACTCGCTCCTACTACCGCAACTCCGCCGGGGGGATGCTGCTCTTCGACCTCACCAACCGCGCGTCCTTCGAGAGCGTGCGGCGCTGGCACCGCGACGTGACCGACACGGTGCAGCCCTTCGGCGTCGTCTTCCTGCTGGTGGGGCACAAGAGCGACCTGGCGGGGCAGCGCCGCGTGGGCCGCAGGGAGGCCGAGAGGTTGGCGGCCTCGCTGGGCGCCCAGTACGTGGAGACCTCGGCCAAGGACGCCTCCAACGTGGCCCTGGCGTTCCGGATGCTGACGGTGGCCATCTACCAGGCGCTGCGGACGGGGAGGTTGGCGGCCACCGAGGCGTGGGACGGGGTGAAGAGCAGCGTCCCCCTGCCCGTGCCGCCCAAAGCTCGGCTGTCGGAGAAGGAGGGGAAGGGGAAGAGGTGCTCGTGCTAGAGCTGGGGACACGAGGGCTGGGGACGTGCTGGGATGTGGCCCCCCTGCTGCACATCAGCTTGCCAGGACAGGGTGGCAAGTGCTCTCTGCTCTCTCTTAACAACTGTAAGAGTTGTTAAACGGTTTAATTTTAACAGTTTAGGGCTCACTGTGGAAGATTTGGTGGTTAATGGAGCGGTTTTCGAAAGGACGGGGAAATAAAGTAGCAATAAAATAAAATGAACGTTGCAAGGACCCTGAGGCATGCTCGTCCTCTGCACATTCCAGTGATCAACGTGCCCAGGACTGTGGCTGCAGGGACAGGAGAGCTCCAGGGTTGTGGCTGCAGGGATTGGGGAGCTCTCATTCCTTCAGCTGCAGGAAGCTCTCGGTGCTCCCTGCCTGCTGGGTAATTGTTTTGTAATCATGGGGCTGTGCAGGTTTGGCCATCACACAGTGATCCCACCTCGGTGGGGGTGGAGATGCAGCAGGAAGGGGCAGCACGGGAGCATTAAACACCCCTGGTCATCCCTCTGCCTGCCTGTGTTTCCTGGGGAAGCAGCAGTGCTTAGGCTGCCCTTGGAAAGGGTGGAATGTCCAGGTGAGACTTCAGGCACCAGCAGAGGTGGGTGTCATCCCATTCCCCTCTTCTCTCTCCTGTACTGACCAAGTCCCAAATCATAAAGCCCTAAATTCTTTAAATCTTCCCAAATACAATTAGAAATAAAAGATTTATTATGTAACTCAGGTAATATCTGATTATCACTCTGGCTCAGGACCTGCCTGAGTCCAAAGCAAAAATCCTTCTGGTCTAGAAGGGGCTGGAGGGGAAGCCACAGGAGGAGAAGCTGAACTTGGGTTGCTCAACCTGGAGCAGAGCAGGCTGAGGGCAGAGCTCAGGGGGGGCTGCAGCTCCCGAGGGGCAGCTCCGATCTCTGCTCTGGGGGAGCAGGGACAGCACCCAGGGAATGGCTGGAGCTGTGTCAGGGCAGGCTCAGGGTGGATCTGAGGGAAAGGTTCTTCCCCCAGAGGCTGGTTGGGCACTGCCCAGGCTCCCCAGGGCAGTGGGCACAGCCCCAAGGCTGCCAGAGCTCCAGGAGGGTTTGGACAATGCTCTGAGAGACAGGGTGGGATTGTTGGGGTGTCTGTGCAGGGCCAGGAGTTGGATGGATGATCCTCGTGAGTCCCTTCCAGCTCAGGATATTCCATGATTCTGCTCCCTTTAAATCCCCAGGAGAACTCCCACCAGGACACAACCCCTGCCACCCCTCTGCAGTGCTGCCTGAAAAGCACGAGCCCATGCCAGGAGCTTAGATTAATAATTTCTTTATTCATGTAAAACAAACGCAAGTATTTATATAAACACTGACATTACAAAGTACTGGAGCAGGAAGGAGGAAACAAAAACCTCTACAGATGCTTCTAATACTGTCCCACACACGACCAAATGCTCTGTCCCTTGGGTAATCGATCACTTGCACGAGAAACCACTTTCAAGTCACAAATAAAAGTCTCTCCTTGAGATACGTCGCGCTCTGAGGAGGAACAAGGAAAGGGGCAGAGAGTGTTTTTGGCAGATCTCCTCGTAGAGTCAAGATATTGCTGCACCGTTAATAAAAAATAGATGCTTCTCTGTAAAGCACTAAAAAAAAAACATCCCACGGGTGACATCGTGGAGGCTTCAGTGGAGAGGCAAAATATCCCAAACTGCACTGGCGGCGTCTCCCAGCTCTGCCCAGGGGCTATTTCTTGGTGGTTTTGCGGATCAGTGCCATCCTCTGCAACAAGGAAAGGGAAAAATGTGGGAAGCTGAGCAGCTCAGAGCAGGTGACTGCCCAAACCAGCTGCAGCCGTGCAGGAGTGAGGCATCCCAGATGCTCTGGGGACGCTGCCTGACCTGCTCCCACACAGGTCTGTCAGGTCTGCTGGAATCCTAATGGGGTCCCAGGCTGGAGCCAGAGGAGAAGGAAGTGTCTGTGCTGCTCCACTCGGCACCCCGGGGCAGTGGGATCAAACCCCACCTCAAGGCCCCCCCTCTGTGCCCAGGGGGAGCTGCAGCATCACCCAGGAACCCTCCAGCTCCTTCCTGGCTCTGACTGTGCACTTCAAAAGCAATGGATTAATTCAGTTTAAAGCAAAATTAAAGGTGTTTTCAGTCCCTTTGCACAAAGACAGAGACAAATCTGCCAGGGGCAGCTGAGAAGTGCCTGTGTGCAGCTCCCAGCTGGTTTTAACCCTCCCAAGCTGGGCTGGCCCTCAGACTTGTGCCCTTAGGGCACAGTCAGCACTGCAGAGGAGCCACAGCAACCTCAACCCTCTCTGCACTAACAGGCCAGGAGGATCTGGGAGTCATTTCAAGCCCAAACCACTCGGAGGAGGCCACAATTTCACCACCTTCCCCGTACCAGCCACGTGATTCCCAGCGTTGTGAGGGCTCCTTTACCTGTTTGTGAGCTTCTGTAGTGCAGGCTTTTTTGTAGGGCCTGATTTCTTCAGAACCAAAGCCCGGGATCCACATGTTCCACTGGCGCTCTGGAATCACAGAAGGCTTTGGGTTGGGAAGGACCAGAGAGCTCATCCAGCTCCAAGCCCCTGCCACGGGCAGCGATGCTTTATCCAGCCCAACACCACAGCCTGACTTCAGGAAGTGCCCCTGGGTCTCAGCTGAGGGGAAAAAACACACGTACAACTCACTCACCAAGGTGCAACTGGACGTCTTTGACCTCCAGGGTGTTGGACTTGCGGTGCCGCGCGAGCTGGCAGGCGGCGGTGACCACGCTCTCGATGAAGTCATCAGCGATCTGCAGCAGCATCTGGGGGGAACAAGGGCCACAGCCAGCCTGGTCAGCTCAAATCATGTGGGAGGGATGAAAACGAGCCCTCAGAAGCTGGTATTTAGAAGCGTGGAACGCTCCGAGTTGGAAGAGACCCACAGGGATTATGGAATCCAACCCCTGGCCCTGCACAGACACCCCAACAATCCCACCCTGGCCCTCACAGTGTTGTCCAAACCCTCCTGGAGCTCTGGCAGCCTTGGGGCTGTGCCCACTGCCCTGGGGAGCCTGGGCAGTGCCCAACCAGCCTCTGGGGGAAGAACCTTTGCCTGAGATCCAACCTGAGCCTGCCCTGGCACAGCTCCAGCCGTTCCCTGGGTGCTGTCCCTGCTCCCCCAGAGCAGAGATCGGAGCTGCCCCTGGGGAGGAGCTGCAGCCCCCCCTGAGCTCTGCCCTCAGCCTGCTCTGCTCCAGCTGGACACACCAAGTGCCCTCAGCCACTCCTCATATGGCCTCTCCTGACCCTTCACCACCTCAGTGTCCCTCTTTTATGTCCCTCTATTATGGTTTTTGTATCTTTTCTGTATCGTGGTGCCCCAAACTGTATTTCCCCCAGGACTGTATTTCACAGCTTTTTGCAACAGACCCATTTTGGCACTGGGACACAGAAAGACAGGGATGGCTGAAGGCTGCAGGAGAACAGAGAGGTGTCAAATGAATGGTGGAAATGTCTGTGAAAATACCCAGATGAGCTCTTTCTGCAGCCCCTGCCGTGGGTTGGTACCCACCTCCTCCACATCTTCATCCAGCTGCTCGTTGGGATCCACCTCACGCACCAGGTCCTGCAATTTCTTCTTGGTTAAAACCTGAGGGTGTGGGAGAAGAAGGATTTACTGCCCTGCTCCAGCAAAGCAGCAGCACAGCCACAAACACCCCCTCCCCCGTGCTCCCAGGGCCCAAGTCACACTGTTGACACAGTCTATCAGCTCAGGAATGGCAGGGATAAGGAATATCAGGTGTTAAGGAGTCATTTTGGAGCACCAGGGGTTGCTCTGGGCAGAGAGGGGAATGCAGCAGCCAGGATAAATATCTCCAGCACCAAACTGGCACCAAAATGCTGCTGGCAAGGGTGGGGGGAAAAGCAAAACTACAACTTTTAAGAGGAAGAGAGCAAGTGTAAGCAACATATCAGTGACTAAAGCTGTGCTCAGGGCACGAGGGAAGTATTTCCATGGCTCTAGTGCTTATCAGCTTTAGTGCTTCTCATGGAAAACAGAGATAGGTGAGTGCTGGGTTATCCCAGGGCAGCAGCCAAACGTGGCAGGGAGCAAAAACCACACTGGGCTTGACCAACAGGATGCTGAGTCTTAAAAGATCTGGATGGAAGTTGTCAGCCTGCTCGGGTGATCCAGGCACAGGTGGGAAATTCCTGCCTTTCCTGGTTCCCTCGCTGCTGTGCCTGTGTTTGTGGGGGGGTCTGGTGCAATTCCTGAGAGCCCCAGTGAAGCCATAAGGGAGCAACCCCAGGGCAGCAGCTTGTTTCATGCACATCAAAGCCTCCAGAGGTTGGAAGGGACCTTAAACCCACCTTATTCCACCCCCTGCCACGGGCAGGGACACCTTCCACTAGCCCGGGTTGCTCCAAGCCCTGTCCAACCTGGCCTTGGACACTTCCAGGGATGGGGCAGCCACAGCTTCTCTGGGCAACCTGTGCCTCACCACCCATTTCCCCCCAAATTCCTCCCATCTAAACCCCATTTAAAAAGAATTTCCCCCCAATATACATTTTCCTGAGACTGCAAAACCCACAGCATCCTTTCCACCGGCCTGGAAGCAGCTGGAAGAACTCCAGGAAGAAGTTCTGCTCCCTCAGTAACTGACACTTTAACAGACACAAAGTATTTGCTGGTGATTTAAGGAGGGAGAAAGGAGCCAGGGGCAGGGCTGAGCATCATCCCTGTTGTCCTGGAGTCAGGGATGGAATTACCTGGTTGCTCTCAGGGCTGAGCCTGCCCCCTCCACTGGGTGTTCCAGGCATCTTGGCCACGGTGGTGCTGTTGGCCATGGAGCTCTGGGGGGGGGTGCTGGCTGGCTCTGGCTTGATGGAGGAGAAGTTGGAGAGGTTGATCAAGGTAGAAGGGCCAAACTGGTTCATAATCTGCTGGGCTTTAGATTTTAGGTCATAAAGCTTGTCCAGGTCCTGCTTCTTCTTGGGATTGTGGGGACCCAAGCCAATCAACTGGGAAAGGAAAGGAGAGCCAGGGTTAGAGGCAGACAGGGAGTTCAGTGGGGTGGACAGGTCTTTGTCCTGAGAAAACTGGAGTTTATAGAAGATCAGGAGTCTCTGGACACAGCAAGAAGGGAGAAGTGATGTTTAAGTAGACGAGAAAACCTTCCCTGGTGTGTGGAAAATGAAGTTTGCCAGAAGCACAGGCCAGTGACAGCAGCACTGACCCACCCACCCCCTCACCCCTTGGGCTGAACCCCCCCACTCCCACCCCGCTCAGGGCCTTCCAGAACCCACTTCCCACAGCCAGTTTTGAGGAACAGGCCACACAGAGCAGATTTAAGTGCAGCAGCACAGGATCCCTCATCCCCACACTGCAGGGGTCTCAGGAGAAGGCAGGGCTCAGCCTGCCTGGAGTCTCATTTTTGGCAGCACCAGGCTGCCAGCCCGGCCTGCAGAGACCCCTCCACGTGGGACTGACAACAGCGGGTCCATTTTGGGTGCTGGGAGCAGAGTCTGGGAGCTCAGAGGGGCAGGAACACGTGTGTGTGTGCCCACACCTGCCCATCGTTCCTCCTGCACTGGGCAACCAACAGCCACAGGAAAAGGGCTGGGATTTATGGAGCTCCTGAAGGTGAACCAGAAGTGGGCTGTGGTTACACAGATCCTCCAGGTGCCTGAAGTGTCTCAGGATCTTGGTCACAGGCTGACTGGCTCTTCCTCTGTTCCACAGCTGGGAGGCTCTAAAGCCCAGGCTGGGTGAAGTTTTGCTCTGTCCTCACTTTGCTCCACGACAGGAAACTCATCCAAACCCTGCACCTCCCACTGCCACAACCACCACAGGCACCAGGGATGGGCCTCTCACGGGGAAGGAGAGTTCAGGGAATGGTTTGACGGCAAAACCCTTTGTGGAAGGGACAGAGGTGGGTGGAAAACAGCAGCTGAGGCTGAACTTACAAAAGAAGAGTCTGTTTAACCAGCTTTACAGGACGTTCACACAGAGTGTCTGCCCCCTGAGCCACAAACAGACATTTCCCCCTCATCAGAGCAAGCCTGGTTAGTCTGGATTAGTTAAACCCACACCAGAAAGCACACAGGAACACTCAGAGGCAGCTGCTTTAGTGCTTCACTCCAAGGCACACTCATGCACCTGCAGGCAGGGATTTATACCCCAGACACCCTCCTGCACTGCCCTCAGCAAGTCTCCAGCTCAGTTTTAACTGGATTAACGATGGAAAACCACGGCACTCACACCCTGAACCCCCTCAGCTGTACTTGGGGCCGAGGAGCTCAGCACAAGACCAGGAGGGACCTCCAGTCTTGGTTTTAGCTGGAGCTCGTCTCAGGCTGTTCACCCCACTCCTCACTTCCCAAATCCACCCAGCAGGAATTCCTGCCCACCATGCAGGGCAGGGAGCACCCAAACCCTGGGGCAGAAAGCCCCAGAACCCTCAGGAAGAAGCACAAAGTGGTTTTGCTGGTTTATTCCAGGATCTTACCGCACCCTCCATGTGCTGCCAAGATCCCTGGACACAAAACCCGCGGGATGAGCAGGTTCCCAGGGCAAATCCCACATGCCAGCCCCCTTTTACTTACAGCTATCTGAGTGTCTAGATCTTTAATTACATCAGCAACTGCTGTGGGCCCAGAGGGTGCAGAGGCCATGGCCCACAGCCTTCCCAGGGTGTCACCAGCCAGCAGGACCTACTCTGGCCTCCTCCTCTTCCACACAACTCCCAATCCTACAGGAACACCAGATATTTTTTTTTGTATCACCCATCCTTTATCAGATGCTGAGAGGAAGCAGTTTCACACGTTGTCCTCACTACAGGGCCAAAGGTTTCTCTGACAGATCACACAGTGGCTGCTGCAGAGGAGGAGCATCCCACGGGATCCTGAAGAAATACATGGCCAAATTCCTCCTTTTTCTGCCAGGAAATGGGAGCATCCTGGTGCCTGCTGGCGTGCAGGTGAGCCCAGGCCCCACAGCAGCAGGTCCCTCCAGGGCAGGAGATTTGGGGGCAGTGACAACTGGGACTGGTTCAGCTCTGGGGCAGCACAGGGTTAGAGCTGCAACTAAAATCCATGTTAATGCCTAACAGCACATTCCCTGGAGGGCTCAGGGGGCTCCCATTTCCATCAATCACAATAATTTTCACATCTAAATACAACCACAGAATCAAGGAATGGTTTGGCCTGGAAGGGATGTTAAAGACTACCCAAGTTCCACCCCCTGCCATGGGCAGTCACACCTTCCACTAGCCCAGGTTGCTCCAAGCCCCGTCCAACCTGGCCTTGGACACTTCCAGCGATGGGGCAGCCACAGCTTCTCTGGGCAACCTGTGCCAGGGCCTCCCCACCTTCACAGGGAAGAATTTCTCCCCAATATCCCATCTATCCCTGCCCTCTGCCAGTGGGAAGCCATTCCCCCTTGTCCTGTCCCTCCATCCCTTGTCCCAAGTCCCTCTCCAGCTCTCCTGGAGCCCCTTTAGGCACTGGAAAGAGCTCTAAGTTCTCCCTGGAGCCTTCCCTCCTCCAGGCTGAACACCCCCAGCCCTCAGCACTCAACACCCCCAGGGGGATGGGACCGAACCCCCTCCCCGCGCTGAGCGCGCCGGGCGCCGCGGGGGCAGCGCGAAGGTCACCGAACGCCACCGGCACCGCGCAGCGCGCCCGCCCCGGGGCTTCCTCCCACACTTGCAGCCGTGTCGAGCCCCCCGGAGGCTCCGCGAATCTCGCCCGGGTCCCCCCCCGTACCTCCCCATGACCCGCGGCCGCTCCGAGGCCCCGCCGCGCTCCCTCCGCCGACACCGGGGCAGCGCTTCCGCTTCCGGGCGCGCCTCCGCCAATCGGGAGCGCGTCCGCCCCTGCGCGCGCGCGCCTCCGCCAATCGGGAGCGCGTCCGCCCGTGCGCGCGCCGAGGCGCTCCCGCCAGAGGCGCCCCCCCCCTTTCCAACTCGGAGCGGCCACAGGGGAAGGGGGGCGTTCCCAGCATGCCCCGCGCGGTTTGCATAGCGCCGACCATTGCGAACAGCGCGGAAACGGCGCTTTTTTTTTAGGCGAAAAGCAGCACGAATGGCGAAAATAAAGGGAGAAACGTATGGAGAAAGGACGACGGAGCAGAGGTACACGCATGGTTTAGTCGGTCGTTCCCGTGCCTCGCCCTGACCTCAGCGGCGCTCCGGCGCTTTGCGGGGCGGGGCGGGCGCGGGCGGAGCTTTTAAAAAGGGCTTCTGCCGTGCGTGGCACGGGGGGGCCCTGCGCCGCC